ATATACAGAGTGTTACAAAATGAAATTTCGTTTTTTTTTTTTACAGCTTTCAGACCGTACATGAGCAGCAGCTTAGCCTCTGCAAAAAGTGCAGCAGTGATCAAATGTAAAAATCATTGGAGAATAAACATGATGCAAAATGGATTTACATGGAAGTTCAGAGCAGCGCAAAGACAAATAAATATGGTGCAAAATGCAGTAGACAAACATTTTTTGAATTGAGTTCTTTTTGGTTTGGTGTTATCGGTGTGATGCAGAGTCTTTGACTGTATTTAGAGTTTCTTTCAACAGTTCAGCAGTCTGATGGTGGTGGGTAAAAAGCTGCTTCAGAATTGGCTGGACCTGCATTGAACGTGTGAAGCCTCTTCCCAGAGGGCAGCAGGGAGAACTGTCCATGGTGGGGGTGGGAGGGGCCATTGATAATGTTATGGGCTCGGGAAAATCAGCGCTGGGATGAAATGTCTTTTATGGTGGGAAGAGGTGCCTCATGGGTGGGGGCAGGTGGGCTCTCCTCATCCTCCGCAGGAAGTACACGCTTTTGTACCCTTTTGTGCACAAGAATTTGGTGCTGCTCACCACTTCTACAGCTGAGCTGTTGATGAGCCGCGGAGCAGGGTTAGAAAGGTTGTTCCTGAAGTCGACGATGATCTCCTTTGTCTTCTCCACATTCAGGACCAGGCTGTTATCTCTGCACCAGCCCACCAGCTGCTCCGCCTCTTCTCTATAGTCCTGGTCATTGTTGTCTCTGATGAGGCCCACCACCGTGGGGCCGTCTGCAAACTTCACAATGTGATTGGTGGTGAACCTGGGGACGCAGTCATGTGTCATCAGGGTGAACAGCAGGGTGCTCAGGACGCAGCCCAGAGGGAAGCCTATGCTTAGGGTGATGACATCAGAGGTGTTCTGTCCAACCCAGACTGACTGAGGTCTGTGTGTGAGGAAGTCTAAAAGCCAATTGCAGAGGGGTGTATGAAACCCGGCTGTATTCCTTTCAGATGGTGTGAGATGATGGTGTTGAAAGCTGAACTGAAGCCTAGGAACAGCATCCGCACATGGATGCTCTTCTCCTCCAGGTGTGCTAGGCTCAGGTGAAGAGCAGAGGAGATGGCATCTTCAGTGGAATGGTTCCGTCAGTAGCAGAACTGAAATGGGTCTAATTTTTGGCGGAGACTGGAGATGATGTGTTATTTAACCAGCCTTTTGAAGCACTTCATCATGATAGGTAGTCATTGACTTAAAGCATACTGGCACTATGGATTGGTCCAGCAGAGGGTGTTAAAAATGTCTGTTATTACACCAGCCAGCTGACCTGCACACTCCAGTGTGTTGCTTTCCTACAGCAGACATGAGCTTCTGAACATTCAGAGCTACAATTCTGACACTTCTATCGCCGATCTCTGACTTAGAGATCTTCGGAACACCGAAGGCTGCCCACTCCTCCCAGCTGGGTGGAAGTGTATGCAGATGGCAACGATAACGTAAACAAAGGAAGGGTAAGCATTGAGGGCTGCGAACTAGGCTTAAGCTAACACCACACCGGCTCTCTTTACCCAGCATTTCCCTGGCCAATAAAATGGATGAGTTACGACAATCCATCACAAATGACAGATAGATTATGGATTCAAAAGTCATGCTTTTTCATGAGCAAACAACAGCTGCCTGGACAATAGTATCCAGCTAACAGGACACCACACACATCGAGCGGACAGGACAGCAGATGAGTCCATCAAGACTAGAGGCAAAGGTTTGTGCATTTATATTAACAAAGCTTGGTGCACAGACCCTTCTACTACCGAGAGACATTGCACAGAGATTGTGGAGTTTTTAATGGTCAAATGCAGACTTTATTACTTTCCAAGGGAATTTACTGCTGTCATCCTCACTGCTGTTTATATTCCCCCGGATACTAATGCCACGCTAGCCATGAAAGAACTTTATGCGGCCATTAGCAAGCACCAAGCATGCATGGTTGAATTTCCCCAAATCTACATTTAATTCGACTTAACATCAGCTTAATATTGTGACCCATCTATTGGCTTATAATAAACCAACCTATCTTGTCTGGTCAAATTAACCACTACTGGGCCGGTGCTATAATAGCCCAGCGGTTCGGCTGGAAATAACCCAATTTTAGTTTTAGTCCAACTGTTTCAGAGTGTAAAACAAACATAAATCAAAATAGAAACTAAGAAAACGCAGGCGAAAAATATTTTAAAATAGAATCAAACCCCAAAACAGCCCAAACAACCAAGTCATCAATAAACATACAAATTCTCTACAATCCTACGCATTTGCAACTTTGAATTCAAAATGTTTTTGCCCCAAAGTACTAGGCTACATGTCAGTTATTGGAACAATGAACTAACAAAGCTTTTTCTTGTCAGCATGTCTACTTTTGTGTCACTGACTTCAAGCCTGTAATAATTAGTTTCTCTTGTATCTAGTAAATAATTTATGGGAACGCTTACTACCACCATAGTGTGCAAAAGATCCATAAAGTCTAATCATGTTTTAATGTATTCAATGATAATAAATAATTAAAACAAAAGGAAAGGGCAACAGACACCTTTATAATATTAAAAGGGATTTAAAGATGTAAATACATGTCAAGGTGGTCAAGGCCTGATGAAATTCACAACATTTTCAAAAAGTAAGGGTGCTGTGTGACATGCTGCAGATTTTTTTGTGTGACATTTTGCAGATGCAAATATGCGACAAGTAATTTGGACTCAGAACTACAGTTATTGGAATATTCTATACAGTCAGTCACTTTGGTCTTTTAAAAGGGTTTTAACATTCCCATAGGAATGAAGGGAACAACACCTGTCTTTAATCTTATTTGTTCAACAGATTTTGAATGCAACATAAAAAATGTGTCACATCCATATCCAGCTAAGTTATTTTATCTTATTCCCACCTCCATGTTTAGATAGGATAAATATATCCCTAAACAGGGACATGTGCTGCAGGCTTTTAAGGTTGCTGTAATCAAACCTTAGATCAGATCATATATATCGAAAATTCTTGTTATATCTAAAATTCTTGAGAAAGTAGTTGCCAACAAGTGTGCGATCATTTAAACCATAATGAACTTTTTGAAGAGTTTTAGTCTGGCTTTCAAGCTCATCATAGCACTGAAACAGCTCTGGTGAAAGTCACTAATGATATTCTCATGGCGTCAGATAATGGACCTGTATCTGTACTTGTCCGGTTCGTACTCAGCGCTGCATTTGATCTACTTGATCATAATATTCTTTTAGAAAGACTTGAATATTTTGTAGGGATTAAAGGAACAGCTCTAGACTGGTTTAAATCGTATTTATCTGACCGATTTCAGTTTGTTCGTATTAATGATAAATCTTCCTCATGCTCCAGGTTTACCTGTGGAGTACCACAGGGATCAGTCGGCCTCAGCAGATGACCGCTCACACTGAGTCTTGTTCTGGTACTACTGGAGGTTTCTTTATGTTCAAAGGGATTTTTCCTCTCCACTGTGGCTACAAGCATGCTTGGTGTGAGGGATTGCTGAAGAGGCAATGAGGCAATGCAATCAGCTGGTTTTCCCATCTGACTGGATGATCTGGTTGATCTTGATCTATAAAGTGACCTGAGATGACATGCTATGAATTAGAGCTATATAAATAAACTAAGTTGGGACTATTTCTATTTGAAGTTTAGACCTGTCTCTATCCTGACATGGCTACTGGCTGTGTTTTTGCTCTTTTTTATCCTTTTGATCTAGAAGTCATCACATAGTTCATCAGTTTAACTCATGGATATGGTTTACCAATACCTTCCCTAACACAGAAGGTTTTCCAAGATCAGAGGATCCGTTTACCTGTTTGTATCTGCCTAGGTCTTCTTAAACATTCAGTCAGCTGAACTTACTCCCTAAAGTCTCATGTGATGACATATGTCGTGAATTGGGGCACACCTGAAATTAATTCAAAAAACCAGTCATTTTTTAAGCATAGTCTGTTGCTACAGCTAAATGTTTAGTAGCTTTGAGCTGACAACCACTATCGAGTTCTGATAAGCTTCTACACTCGTTTATTAGATTACCACATAAAGTTCATCAGTATGAAGAAAAGAAAAACACAGTCATCCCTCCTTCACGATGCTGCACACTGCAATTTGCTGGTAGATAGATGGCTTATGCTCTGTTCTCTAACGTACAGCATGGGTAATCCATCTCTTTTGGAAGAGATTTATTGCTGCTGAAAACAGATATTTATGGTTGGACATGCAAATATTTTTGTTCTGCTCAAGATTAGGTATGAAAATCAAAACAATCATAAACAGATGTTGAACATAACACCAGTATGGCCACAATAAACAATTTCATTTTTATTCCGGCTACAGTTAAGAGACTGGTATCTTGCTCTGTTTTCATATGAAAGCAGTTTTACCCACAGCATGGAGTCATGTGGTTAAAGTATACCAGTCCAGTCCTCATCATCACACATTGTGTTCACAAAATGGATTTTATATTTTTAACGTAATAATCCACTCTCCTAATTAGAGGAAAGTGTAGTAGAATCCCATAGAAAGTTACATTTCAATAGCCTGGACAGCATGGAGGGTATTCTGCATGGATGGAGCTGAAGGGCTAAAAGTCAATTGAGATAAAACAATAACAGACTGCCAACTATAATAGATCCTGTACTATAGATCAGCTTTCTGCAATTTACTGCTGCAGTTTACATTTCATTCATCTCATTCTGATTTTCTGCAGCCTCCTAGTCAAACTCTTTTGAGTGCAAAAAGGCTGAAAAAGGCCCAAACATCGGACCAAATGTGACAGTGAAAGTGACACCAGTGTGATTTCTCTATAACCTTGAGGCTGTAACAGGATGTTCCTCAGCAATGTGAAGATGGAACAGCCGCTGATCTCAGAATTTCATCTTTTCACTTCACCACTCCTAACTCTGCTTCTACGGATTGTATCCCCTTCAGCATGTGCTGCCTTTCTGCACTCCCCCCCGGTCACCCCCACTTACCTGTTCTATCTTGGCCAGCCATTCCTTATTTCGGGCCAGCTCTGCCATAAAGGCCTGGTGTTTCAGCCACTTCCTGTGTAGCTTTTGAGCCTCATCCCGGGCCGTGTCTCGGGCCATAAGCATCTTCTCTTCCACCTGCTGTCCCAAACGATCAGCTAGGGGAGACAAAAATAGCCACCATCAGGAGTCCAGCGTTCCAGTCAGCCCTTATTCCTTCCCACAGGACGTCCTGCCTGGCTTCTATACACAAAACCCACCCGCTTTGCACTGTAGGGCCTAGTTACCTGTGCTGTCACCACCCACACCAACCCCCCACCAGACACCCTTTTCTGAAAAAAAAAAAAAAAGAAAAAAAGAAATCAAGATAAGCACCTCAGCAGTGGTTCCAATAGAAGTTATCAAGCCCTTCCTCAGGGTTGCCCCTTGGTCCTCATGCCCTACCCCTTCATGAATCTTGCGGTCCTAATGCTGCAGTGCCTGCTAGCCAGTCTCTGAGAAAGCAAAAACCACCAGAAGGAAAAAGGAGGAAATGCACCAGTGACAACACTGGTATAGATCCTCACACACATCCAAGATTCCTTGTAAGTTCAGATGTTATTTTATAGTCAGTTACAATCCAGTCGACAGTCAGGCTGCAGATGTAGCATAGCCACCAAAAAATCCTTCCGCTGGGGTAAAATCTGACCATCCACAGCTTGCCAGTCCCAGTCAATCTGTAGTCCTTTCTAATGATGCTGTAGAGAGGAGGAGGAGGAAGAGTTGAAGTGGGAGGAGCAGGGGGAACAGGATGCAGAGGCAGTGCAGAAGAGCCTGGATTTCTTGAGCCATCTGCAAATGAAATGCATCATTCTCACCTCTACTAAGATGCACAAGCAGGCTGGTGTAAAGCAACAATCTGCTTCCCTTTCTGCAAGCGTCCCCCCCTCATCCCGTGAATGGCTGAGCCGCAGATGCTGCAAGCTGCTGCATGCTGCTGCAGTACTTGTTTCTCATCTATGCTTCTCTGTGCGTGTGTTGGTGCGTGCTTGCGTGTGTGTGTATGTTCAATCACAATCAGCACTGCAGTGCCGGAGCAGAGTGGGAAGGAGGGGAGAAAGGGGGAGGCAGTGAGAGGAGAGGGGGAAAGGGAGACTGGATGAGGAAATGGAGAAAAGGGTAGTACCAAAGCCAGAAAAAGAAGGGGAGAGTGTTGTAAGTTGGAACAGGGAAAACATCATGTTGGAGCTAGAAAAAATAGAAGGTGGGATCGTTAGGGTTATCGAAACAGAGAGAGGATGGAGAGCATGCGTCATCCATCAGTGTCACTGGGGACATTTCTCTGCACTAGAAATGACTGCACTTGGAGATGGATGAGAATTGGGAAAGAAACACAGGGTTTTTTTGGGGGGGGGGGGTTGGTGTCATTTTTGAAACAGCTGAATGAAAGGGAAGGACGACGAATGCATGCAGAGTCCAAGATATAGCTTGCTGATTCAAATCACTAATCTCTCACCCTCTTAAAGAAAACCTGCATGCCTTCTTCAGCTGGCAGCATGTCGCTTGCAACAGAATGGGGAACATTTCTCTCCTTTCTTAGGCCAATAAAACTCACAGTAAAATAATTTTTATACACTAGAAACATCACATGTAATCATGAAACAAAATCTGACTTAAGTCTAAGTCTGCATTGGTGTTTCAACATGAGAAAGATATATCTATTTTTTATTAAGACCCACGATAGAATAAAGAGAAAATACTACAGCAATGCAGGATTAAAGTTGTATGAGGTTAAAGTGGAGCAGCATCATAAGGCATAAGGTTTTGTTACACAGGCTTTATTCTCAGGCTTATTTGATAGATTAATATATTCTGCAATCTAATAAATAAAATAATCCAACTTTATATTTTATCTGATCAATTTCAATACTGTGTCAATTAAACTAAAACAATTATACACTATATCACAAATAATATAATGAGTAACAAAACTTCACTTAAACACAGATTGAAGGGTTTAGTTTATTTCCAAAGGGACAATTAGCAGAGATAAACTTATCAACATTTAACTGACAGAAACCAATTTCTCACTGTCTTTGAGGACTGATCACCAATTAGATATCTGAGGGCTATAAATAGACCCTCGCTTGTGTTTTATGATCCATCCATCCATCCATCCATCCATCCGTCCATCCATCCATCCATCCATCCATCCATCCATCCATCCATCCATCCATCCATCCATCCATCCATCCATCCATCCATCCATCCATCCATCCTATGCAACCACCACCCTTCCATCAAAGTCTAGCTAAACAAATGCCCTAAAACAAGTGAAGTTCCTGGATACCAACACTTTTAAAGGAAAGAGTTGAACACTACTGGAAAACATGACAGAAAACTACTACAAACCCTCAGACACATGTTTGAAATTCTAAGCATTTACATTGACTTACATACTTTTTAGTAACTGCATTGATACCTAACACTGACATTTACCCAACTCTAACCTTATCATTATATTTCTTACCTTGAACCTTACCTAAGATGTATTCACACCATACCTCTAAAGTGACTCTCCAAAGTTAAAGATGGAGGCCACCACATTAGAACCAGTCTATAGTCCTCATAAGGCATGTTGGTTCTCAGAAGGTTAGTAAATATACCAAAAATTGTCCTAAATATAATTGGGACCATTACCTAAGTAACATAGACAAATACAAACACACTCCTCCACAGAACCAGTTTCCAACCAAAACACATGTTCAAGGACACCTAAAATCTCAACTCCTACCTCCACAAAGAAGCTGTTAAAACACAATAGACAGGGACTGAGCCACCAAAATTCTATTCAAGCCCCAAAGCAGAAGTCAGTTCCCAAGAACACTCATCAAAAACACTGAAAGTGAAATCTTCTACCAAAACACCAAAACCAACAAAGACACTACAAAACAAAGAATGCATTTCCCTCACAGAGCCCTACTCCAACCTCACTGTATGGAGCCACAAAGCCATACAAATGTCTTCCAGCGACTCCAACATATCCTACAAGAAAGCAGAAAATGGAGAATCATCTCTGTCTTAGAAAAATACCTTCTCCAAGACCTCTTAGTCTGCTCAAAATTTTCCAGCAGGACCAGACCACACCAAAAAAAATACAAACACATCTTGGGCAGTATAGCCATCAACAAACATTGGACTCTCTACGAAGACAACTGGGTTGAATCTCTTGTCTCCTTCCCCTATAAGCAGCCCTCAATATGGATGACCCAATCAGTGACGTGCGGTCAGGGGAGGCAGGTGAGGCAGTGCCTCACCAGCCATCATGGAAAGAAAGAAAATATATAATCATAAAGTAATTTAAATTGTTATATTCATCCGGTGGTTTGTACTAAAAAATATTCATTTTTCATGTAGCTTCACCAATTTCGATTTTTATTTGTTCAAAATCACTGAATTTTCTTATTTTCCCATTCAAATGCTTGGAAGCGATGCCGGTGAGGCAGCAGCGAGCTCTGCCTCACCTTGGATTGCGCAACCCCTGGCTCTGCGCTGGCTGCAAAGCGGAGAGAGCATGTTGCTGTACGGCGTCAATAAAATAGTTTAAACAAATGTAATATGTGAACTTATTTCTAATAATTTGGCTTATGTATATAATGTACAGAGCTTTTTGTCACCAACTGTGTTTGTGTAACGTGTTTCGTGTAATGAGCGATTATAAACGGCAGAGAACAAGTTCGAGGTGAGGCAGGCAGTTCTCTTGCCTCATGGCAGGGGGTGCTCAAGAGACTGAAAACATAAGGCAGGAACAGGACGGATCAAGGAAGGCTTTCTTCCCTGGCAGTGATCTCCATTGAGACAGAGAGACTTTTAAAACTGAAGGAAGATAAGGAGGACTTCTATTCATTTATAAGTAAAGGTAAGACAGTAATAACATTTATTTTGTTTTGTTTTTTAAGGAAATGTGTGTTTTGTGAGCTACAGTTTGTATGTGTAAGGATGCAGAAGTGAAACATAACCTGTAAACTGCTGTCAATCTATGCATCTATTTGCAAATCTGATTCTGATGACGTCAGTGCCTCACCAGCTATGAACCTCACCGCACGTCACTGGACCCAATAGTCATGTTGTGCAATTTTACCAGCAGTTTATGAATATAGCAACAGCTTTCTACTGCAATTGGGCAAACCCTGGTATGTGATTTTGGCATGATGATAAACACAGGCCAGGAATCCCAAGATGACAGACCGTGCCAAAACAGGTATATATAAGCCTCCTTTCACAAGATGGCCTACACACACATACATTTAAGTGGCAGCGTCTGTAATGAATTGAAGTCGGACTGGGAGAATGCACATGGAGACTAACAAGAGAAAACACATATACAGTATTAATATAATAGAATAAGACATTTCAGGAAGAGACGAATGATGCCTGTAACATCAAAAACAAAATAGTTCAGGATATGATTTTAGCAAACCAATCAGCATACTATTCCATTCCATTTTCTTCCACTTATCCAGGGCCGGGGCGCAGCGGCAGAAGTCTAAGTAGGGATGCCCAGACTTCCAGATCCACACACACCTCCTCTAGCTGCTCACGGGGGACTCCAAGGCGACACCAGGGCAGCTCAAAGGCATAGTCCCTCCAGCGTGTCCTGGGCTTTCCAGGAGGCCTCCTCCCAATAGGACAAGCCTGGAACACCTCCAGAGGGAGGCGACCAGAGGGCATCCGGAACAGATGCCTGAGCCACCTCAGCTGGCTTTCGACGTGGAGGAGCAACTAATCAGCATCTAAATATTATTTCTACTCGCCTACACAAGGTACCCAATAATTGATAAAGTTCCTTAACTTGTTGCTGCGCCTTAGGAGGGGAGAGGATTGGCTTGGGTCTGGTTTTGTTGTGAGCAGCTGTTTCCATGTCGGCCTCTATGTAGTGGTTCTGGGTCTTATGTCTGCCTCAGTCAATCATGGAAAGTCAGAGTGAGTCCAATATTGCACAGGTGGAATTGTAGAATCTTAACTTTTGGGATCTTAAGCAGCTTTTAGCAGATCTGCGCACAATACTTTCAGCACAGAAGGGGTTTATTTCTGCAGCTCGCAGCTCAGGAAAGCAGGCAGCGACTCAACGATCTTTGAGTCGGAAACGCCTAGAGCACAGAAGGGCACACCGCAAACAGGGTGTCTGGCCACTACAGGAACAAAGTGTTATCTTGGTCAATTGACAGGCAGGGAGTTTTTTTCAAGAGTTTTCTTTATTATCATGACTAGGAAAATTGTAGATTCACACTGAAGGCATCGAAACTATGAATTAACACGTGGAATTATATACTTAACAAATAAGTGTGAAACAACTGAAAATATGTCTTATATTCTATGTTTTTCAAGTAGAGACCCTTTGCTTTGATTAATGCTTCGCACACTCTTGACATTCTCTTGATGGGCAATTTGGCCAAACGGCTCAATGCCTCATGAGGCTTCATCTCACCATCCCTATCAAGAACCAACAACTAGAGAGGCTCAGGAGAAACATACAAGAAGAAATGAAGAGAAACCATTATGCGGAACAGCAGAGGAGGAGTATATATGGGAGAACAATGAGTGGAATAATCAGTTAATAGGGAGCAGGTGTGGACAGGAGCAACAACAAAGGAGCTAAGGGAAAAAAAAGAGGCACTAGGCGGCAACAAACAGTAACCAGAGAAAACAGGGTTTAACTGTAAGAGCTTAAATAAGGTTAAAGGGGAATAACAGTAGTGCCTACAAAAAAGGAATGGCCAAGGGCAAGACAAGAGGATGTGAGATGGGACTGATGGTCCGTTTCATAAAGCAGGTTTAACTATTTCAGATTCAAATCTACAAGTCTAAATTTATCAAGTCTAAAGTTGGGAACTCTGAGTGTTTGGTTTCACAACAGCTGCTATCAACTAGTTCAATCAATTTTAACAGGGTCCACTCAGAGTTAAGCGTGTGCGCAAGAAATATTACAAGGCATTGTCAGTGGAGCGCCGTTTGGACGAGTCACCATGACAACAGGCAACA